TTCTAATAATGCAAGTCTAGCCTCAAGCTCTCCGACTCTAGACTTGAGTTCAGCATTTTCAGCATCACGCCTTGCATACCCTAACCCAAATTCAGTTAACAATCTATTTATTTTTTATTAGGAATTGGGAACCACCTAAATTTACTAGTTTAACCGTTTAATCGTATTAGCTGTTAATTCAGCCGGCACTATAGAACAATTTTTTAGCATTAACACGTGGTCGTAAAATCCAATCAACGAGATGTACAAATGTCATGTACCATAAAAATCTAGTGCTAGATATTTGACATTTTATCACTTTTCAACAGCTTCAGAACTCGCTTCTCGCATTAATCACGTCGGGAAACGAAATGTACGAATTCTTCAAACGCAATTCGGACAAATGGAACATCATAGATTTTCTAAACGAATGTTATATGGAACCGTTCGAACGAAAGATATATCAATACCTTAGATGTCTTGATACAATTGCTGGCCGTGATAAAGGCAAGAGGAAGGAAAGAGCTGAGACACTTCTTAATAGATACAGAGAGGCAAGTAAATCTTTTTGTTAATATAGGTGAAAAAAATAGTAGCGCGACAGAAAGTACCCACTCGGTTCTCTGTCATTCAAGGCCACTCGCCAAGCTACAAAACCAATGCTGGGGCACAGGTGACCCACTCGGTTGTCTGATGTTCAAAGGCTACTCGCCGAGCTGGCATTGGACCCACTGGGCACAAATGACCCACTCGGTTGTCTAATGTTCTGGTGGGATCCGAAATGGATAGGGATCCTGAAGTGTGTTTGCAAAGGATGCTACTAATTTTCAAATATTCCATGCTAGGATCCTCAAACAGATCGAAAAAAAGCGAGAAAGTGGGAGAAAGAACGTTCAAGCAAACAAGTTCACCTACACCAGCCAACGTTTGTGGATGGGACTGCCATAACCAATGGAACTAATAATGGAACTATAAATGGAACAGAAACATTCATCAAAAGAGATTCTTCTTCAATCGGAAGAACGTTGAGAAGAAGAAACCAAGTAAACTATGCCGAAAGCTCATTAGAAGAGGAGACGGATTCAGATTATGAGAATAAACCAAAGAGAGTAAATAATACCTGCGCTATTTTAATTACTTTAAAACTTAATTAACATTTTTGGTTTAGGTGAAAAAAGAATCCACTCAATCTTTGGATAGATCTTCAAATTCCCTCCCGAACTTATCAGATGATAACGAGAGTGATGTGAGCGAGAGTGATGAAAGGGAGAGTGAAGCAATTATTATCAAATTGGGTAGATTAAAAAAACGACTAGAATCTCAATCAAGAAATGAGGTACGCAATAAACTGAATTTTTGGTTTCTATTAATTTCATATATATAAAAGAAATTTTGTAATGTTGTTTTAGTGGATCGTAGGCACAATTAATGTGTCAAAAAAGTTTAAAGAATACCAAATGCAGTTAATCGATAACGTAATAGAGGGTAAAGTAAAATTAGCATGGAATGACAAGTATGAAATATTGTAAGTATTTTAAAATAATTTTGTTTATTGAAAATGTACTAATTTAACCTTCTCATATATATTCTAGAGCACTTACATCAATAATAGTATTGGTTAAACAATGCCCATATTCTACGTTTACCTCTTATGAATGGAAACAAGTAGTTAATGCCAATCCTTACATTATCAAGGAATCAGTTTGGGCCAACTCTTTTGCATCTTCGTTATCTGAAGCATGCAATAACATTGCAATAGGATTAGATGATAATTTCATATCAAATGGAGAAAGTGATCTTAGTAAAAAAGCTAGCAGAGTATTTAATAATCTGTATGTTGCTATCAAAATCTTTTTAATATTATATGAAATAATCAATGAAGAACTATAAATTGATTTGATTTTGATACCTAGAAAAGAAGACTTACCATCAGTGCAAACAAAAAAGATCACTGAAAATGAGCATCGATTTAACTATTTAGATCTTTGTTGAGACCATTTTTCTGTGGAGATTCAAAAGATTACGAAATAAGGTTAGATAAAAGCGTAAATGGATCACTGAGAAGACCAGATTTTAGTTGTAGAATCGATAATGTTGCAATATTAAATTCCGAAGTAAAGCCATTGGGTTGCACAGAATTACAAAAAGATAAAGATTTTGTTAAGGTACATTTACGGTCTAAGAGCTCAATAAATCAGCTGTTAAATAAAGGTGGTCCAAATCAATCAATTCTTTTTTTAAACATGGGTATGTATTGTTTTTCGTTTTATTTTTTACTTGAAATATTTATATGATTTTAAAAAATATGTTTAATAATCCAGGTGATGATGTAAATTCATATTTTATGGATTTACACTATGATGGTATATATCGGTCATGTCCTTTACTTGCCACTAAGTTAGTAACGGAAAGAACATTATTTCCAATGTTGGTATTGTCAATTTATCATATTGATAAGATAGAGGTAAACAGTATACTTCATCTTTTTGTCTTTACTTTTAACTTTATAGCGAAATTTTGCTCAATACTTCATTACAATTATATTCATAGCAACAAGTTCAGAGAATTGCGAATGATTATATAGATAGAAGGTCAAGTTATTATATTCCTCCTGAACAAGTTAAATACATTATTGAAGAACTAGGTTCATCCGAATTTAAAGAATTATTGAGGTAATTTGAAGCAGTGATCATTATGCTATGGGATTTTATTATGTGAAATTGAGCTTACAATTTTAAATTTACTAAGTTAATCGGACACGGGCTTACGATGGGTTTTTTTAGCTACTTGCGCCATTTGTGTCATAACTACCGAAAAAGATGTAAAAACATCAAATTATAATATTGGCCTTTCGCATTTAGATCATCATATATGGAAAGCAAAAGAATATAAACACCAGTTTAAGAACAATAATTAGAAACATTTTAACTGATTTTAGCACGAAACAGTTGTTTTCTAGTGTAATTAATATATAAATATTTTTGGGCATTTATTAAATTTGGCTAATTTTATTTCCGTGTTGTGAAATCAGGAACTCGTAAAATATTGGTTTATATTTTAAATTAAGTGATAAATTTGTGTGATAAACCCTCGTAGTCAGATATCTAAATGGTTTGGTAAAAGATACCAGTGAGATATCAAGGTACTTCTGTCTTGACTATGCCGAAATACCTTTTAAGAAGAATACTTCATGGTGTGTAAGACCTCATACATTTACTATTGACTTTGAAAAATGTTATGTTTGTGAAAAAAAGTTTTCTAGTGAGCACAAGATCAAGCTAGTTTACACTGACTCAATGTTTGGTTGAACTCTGCTGTCTTTTCACCTCCTAGAGACAAAAAAGATCTAGAAAATAAGTGATATAAACTCTCAAATATTTTTAGAATAGAGATAATTTATGGTTATCAGATACTTGTCTGACGATCGAAAGTCTGATTTAATTTTACACTGAACAATATAGAAAAAACTTGGTTATTCGTATCATAAGAAACAGTACAATAATACATATTTTTGTCATATCAATAAAGTTGGCTCTGGTAGCTTGAATTCACATCCATAATTGCATTTACCTTTGCATATGTATTTCGTAAATTTATTTTATTGTATTACTATCGATGTACATTACTCGCATATGATCGAAAATTTTTTTATGCAGTCATGTGTTTTGGATTTATTTATTTTTTGTGTTTATGTAGCATGTATCTCTGATTATGTTTCAATGAAAATATACATCTCCATAATAAAAGAATTGAATATATTCGTATTTTATATTAAAAATGGCAAACATACAATCTAAAGATGACTTGTTGAGAGAATTGAATTATAAGCTTGTAGCC